GTGTGTGTGTGTGTGTGTGTGTGTGTGTGTGTGTGTGTGTGTGTATGTGTCTGTCTGTCTATCTGTCTGTCTGTCTGTGTGAGCATAGCATGTAGGCCAAAAGAGGCCAGAAGAAGTTGGATTGTTTAGAGCTGCAAGTAGAGGTGGTTGTGAATGGGTGCTGAGAATGAAACTCTCTGTAAGAACAAGAAGCACTCTTAACCCCTGGGTCATCCCTGCAGCCCTTTTAAGATAATTAATTATTTGTCTGTTGGTCTGTCTTTGTGAATGTGTGTGCACGCCAGAGGAGGGCATTGGTGTTGTTTCTACTGTCACTTTGTCCACTTTGAGGCCCCGTGTGTGGAACCTGCTAGGCTGTCAAGTCCCAGTCGTAGTCCTGTCTCCTTCCTCCGGGAGCAGGAGGCACAGTTGTTGACTGGACGCTTGGCTTGGTATGTCCATGCTGGGACACTCCTGCAGTCCTGATGGCTGTGCAGGGAGCCCCCTCACTACTGGGCATCTCTGGCTGTGCAGTTCACTGTGAACAGTTGTCTTGCTGGTCTCCTTCTCATCTTTTGGTTGAGATTTAGTAATTTAAAAGCTTGAGGGCTTTCATTAGGGCCTGGGTCTGCCCTGTGTCTCCCTCCCTCCCTCCCTCCCTCCCTCCCTCCCTCCCTCCCTTCCTTCCTTCCTTTCTTTCTTTCTTTCTTTCTCTTTAGCTTGCCTGATGGCATTTTTCACCTGCTGCTGTCACTTCTGGTTGATAGCTGCTAGTAGATTAAAGATCATTGAGTCTTGGTTTGTAGTCACGTACTTTCTGTACGTGAGGATGCTTGTAATTTTACCCTTAAATAAGTTTGGTAATTATTTGACCCCTCTGGTATTGAGCTTATGTTGTTTTCTTTTTACTGTGCCTATGACAACATTATGCTGCATAATTGAGTTTTTAATGCCTTTTGATGATTCTGTTGAGACTCTAAGGATATTTGTTTCAACTGCACTGGAGGGGATTTATTAAGATAGGTAGCAGTAAAGTTGGGTATGCTGTTGATAGCATTACTGAGTGTCCAGTGTGACCGGAAAGAGCCATGCTGCCATTCTGAGAGTGTTCAGGTTAAACGCTTCCTCTGTGGTCAGGTCTACTTCTAACAGTAAAGCATCGTGCTAAGTTGTATTAAAAAGATGAAGAAGTGATCCCTTTCTCTCTTCTGCCTGAAAGATTTCCCAGTTAAGCAATGACATGAAACAGGCCGTCTTCACAGTGCTCTCTTGTTACTTTATTTTTAATGGAGGTTGCAACTGTTGCCCTCTCTGGTGCTTAATGTAGTCTAGTTAAGGACTTACCTTCATTCTAGTTGGAAGGACAGTAAAAAGGCCTGTAAAACGTGTACAAGCCTGTATGGCAAGCTATACATAGAAACCCAGAGTCAATCCAATACCCTGTTCTTTTTTGAAATCCAACAGTAGCACTCTCTTAATCTTTTCTAGTAACCTAGTGAAATTGGCAGGAGGCAAAATTGACTGGGAAAGTGTTGCCAGGCAGCAGAGAAGGAGCTTTGTGTTGCTGTGTTTCAGCCCTGCACTGAAGTTGGCCCTGATCAAGAACTGGGTACAAGTCAGGTACCACCTTGGCTTTCAGCTGCTCTGCAGGTGCTGGGTGGGGTTAGTCTTGGAAGGCCTTTCAGTACAGTGGCTGTCAAACATATTAGTGGCAAATATAGAAATAGTCATTTTAAAAAATTGACTTTTAGGTTAGCATACATTAGACTGTGATATCATCTTTTCCCCTCCCCCACACTATCTTAAGTCCCTTCTGGTTCCAGCTGGTTCTCCTTCTTCGTTAGTTCCTTGCAGGTTTTCATGTTGCTTGTACTTCATCCATCTCTTTCTCACCCACTTAGAGTTCCTCCTTCCCTCCCCACTTCCCTTTCCAGTACTGTGACACACACACATACATACAGAGAGAGAGAGAGACAGACAGACAGACAGTCACAGGTGTGTGTACACATACACAAATGGACACAAAATTTTAAATCTAGTTTCTGCACCTAAGGGAAAATGTGTTGTCTTTCTGAATTTGACTTATCTAGAATTAGTCTTTTATTTCACTAAACTGAATTTATGACCTATTTCTTGAGTTTTTATGTTGTGACATTTAGACTACAAATAGAATAAAAAGATTTAAACATTTTAGAGCAATCTGAAAACGATTTTATAGATATTTAGATAATGAAAGAAAAAAGGTAAAGAGATTGTTAGATGCATAAGGTTTTAAACTGCAGTTTTTTTCTGTTTGGATGCCATCTTCGTAACTCTTCTAACAGTTCTAGTAGTTTCTCTTGCCTGATCTTTTGCTTTCTTGTTATGTGTCTTCTTCATGTGCGGCTTCCCTTCTGGTCTTGCTTTCTGAGCCTGCTTGGTGTAGAACTGTTTGTGCTCCATATTTACAGTCAGTGAAGAGTAGACTAGGCCTTCCTGACAGCAGTTGGTCTCTGTGAGCTCGGGAGGCTTCTCTCATGTAGCAGAGTGCTCTTTCGAGTGCTCTGCCGTCAGCAATGCTTTGCTCCTGGTCAGCATCTGTAGTGGAGGAGAGCTACACTTGCATTGGAATGGTAGCCCTGACCTTGCTTTGTGTTACCAGAAAACTTGAATAACATTTACAGTGTATATCCAGGAGAGAGGGAGAGCCTGTTTGTCCTAGAACTAGTATAGGCCCCGGCTCTACCTTCTGCTGTACTTTTAGGCGCCATCTGTAGAATTTATGGTGACTTAAAAGCCGGGATTGAGAAGGTCTCAGGCCACAGACCTGCCTTTCTCTCTTCTGGTTTCTCATGAGGATAGGAAGAGAGCTTGCTTACCTTTGAGGAAGTTTCCTGAAGCATTGAGGTCCTTCAGTGTGGTAATGAGGTTATTGGGGGACTCTTGTAGCTATTGCAGCTAAAGCTGGTAGGTGTTTGGCTATAGGAGCTTCAACAGTGAGAGTCACATGCAAGGCACAAGTGCAGAAATCCTCTTAAGGGTCTATTTTAGGTAGTTATTAAATGTGGCAGTTAGGCTTATTACTCATGTCATGAGTGGAAATGACTGCAGATAGAAATGGTGATTTTGTGGTAAATGAGGTTTTTTTTTTTTTTTTTAACTTTTAAGTGCGTCTATTGCATGCATGCATTTTTTCTTCAAGTGTATAAATATTTTGTTATTAGAATAAAGCCCTATTACTACTTTATCCTTAAGCATAACATTTCCAATCTGCCACTTTAACCCTTAAAAATGAAACCCTACCAATCAATCTTTCTAGTCTGCATGTAATTGCCTAAAGCCAAAATAAAGCCTTTTCTCAGCCAGTTACAGTAGAAACGAGCTAATATATTGGGAGCAGAATAACCATCAGCAGTCAGCCGTTAGCTGTTTACTAATGAACTCCCAGATGAGTGCAAACATTCAGAAACAGTGTTTGACTTCAGGCTGTGCATGAACACCACACTTGAGTTGTAGGAAAAGCAGCTTATGTGCTGCACACTCATCCTGGTGCTTCATCTCAGCAGACTGCAGAGCCGGGAAGCAGCTGGGGCTCAGCTCTAGATCTGTACTTTTAATAGTAAATGCACTTTGGGTGACGTCAGGTAAAACCATTGCAGTTAATATTATGTGGATTTTGATTTGATTTTATTTGAAAATAATTGCTGATGTGAGGAAATCCTTGAGGAATTTTTAATTGGAAGAATAGGTTGTGTTCCAGTGAATTAAAGAATATGTTTCAGAGAATGGTGAAGTGAGGAAGAAGAAGGTGCTTCAGACTTGGAGATGTAATTGATAAGAATTAGCATCTGGAAAGAAGAGTAACCCTTTTTTCAGCCTGGACTGAAAGCATCTTAACACTGATGCTTACTTACAGCCTTTCTTCAGGTTGATAAGAGTCATATTCACACCCTTCTTCATTGTGAACGTTTCACCAAAGTCTAATAAACTCCTGGGACATGAATTTGTCACTATAGTGTAGAAAAAAAATCATACTACACACTGTAGGGAATGTAAATAGTCTTAGGATACTTAGGTTACATCTGTCAGGTTGTAACATAAGCTGAGAAGGAATGGTGTCAGTCTATAGACAGTTCATATGTACCATATGTACCAGCAAAGATGACTTCAGCATTTACCATACTGTGCCCACTTCAGACCCAAAGAGAGCACTTCTGATTCCCATCCATCCTGCTCAGAGGTGAAGATGAGAAGCACCTGCATAAGTGTGTGGATGGGCTCAGTAGAGTGGTAGGAAGGACTACACCTGGGTCTCACTGTGGTTAAAGTAGCTGTCCTAGGTATTCTGGTCAGTCCTCTGATGGAGAGGGAGGGAGGCGGCCATGGAGGGCTTTGTCCCATGTCAGGGTGGAGCCTTGCCAGGCTTTCGGGGTTCTGCTCTTCGGCCAGTGCGGTGTCTCCAGTTCAAGAGCAGCTTTGATAAATACACAGCCCACTTTTCATTGCAGTTATGTTAACATATATGTTAAATTCTCGTTGTGTGAAGCTCTAAGTCATATGAGGGGTTTTAACATTTATTTTCCTCTTACACTATCCAGTTATGCTGATTCAATCACTGTGCAGGCAAGGTGGGCATTTCTGTCCCCTGGATACAGTGTGTGGTATGTAAGAGATGCTGAATTCTCTTATTTCCTTGTTCTGTTGCAGGTTTCAGCAAGCAGATGGTGGAAATCCTTCACAAACACAATATTCAGTTCAGCAGTTTTGATATCTTCTCAGATGAGGAAGTTCGACAGGGGCTCAAAACATACTCTAATTGGCCCACCTATCCTCAGCTCTATGTTTCTGGAGAGCTCATAGGAGGACTTGACATAATTAAGGTTAGAGTCTTTATAAAGACATTTTGTTTCGAGCACACTTTTCTAAAGTGTTATAATAAATTGAAAGCATCTTTTCTTATTGCACCTAAGGATTTACTAAGGAGAACACAGTATTTCTGACAGACATTTGTCAGTATTTCACATTGGCGGTGGTACATGTTGTAATAATGTCCTTCTTTCAGGAGCTGGAAGCATCAGAAGAGCTAGATACAATTTGTCCCAAAACTCCCAAGTTAGAGGAGAGGTAAGTACTAGAAAGCTGACAGCAGTGTGCCCTGAGTGTCTTTACAGCCTATAAATCCTGTTACTGCGTTGACCTTTCTGAGTAGACACCAAGCATTTAGGTTTGCCTGTTGGGGTCATAACTTGGTGGTGGTTCCTCAGCATCTAGTCTTGGAAACTTGGATGCTCTCTCTGTTTTGGACTGGAGATGTTTTAGCACAGTTTAGTGACTGGAGAACATAGTGTCATGGCCTGTGTGATCTGGTCACTTGACTGGCATCAGTTTTATTCTACAAGGAAGTTTGGACCCATGGTACTTCCACAGTGTGAAGAGAGTGAAGAGAAAATGATGTGACCCATTGTCCCTATACTGATTTTCCCTAAAGATTTGCGACTAAACTTTGTTTCAAATTTGGGTGATTAATATACCTGACAGCAACTTAGAGTGTGCTTGTTGACAGGTGGCATATAAAACAGGAAGTACTAAATTCAAATGAAAACTGTTATTTTCAGCAGTTAGCCATGGTTGGAGGGCTCAGATTGGCCTTCTTACCTTTGCAGCTGGCAGCCCTGCTCTGGGCTGAGGAGCATTATGCAGCATCGTGATGGGAAAATGCTCACTGATCCATCTTGGGAACTTCTAGATGGCTCAATATATAGCCCGCCCACCCCAATGAATAATTCCTTACTGAATTGGTTATTATTATTTTTTTTAGTACTACAAGATGATGGGCTTAAATTGCAACTTGAAGGAACATTCATTGCCTTAAAAAGCCATATTATGTTTTACAGTGTCTCAGGGAGAGAAGGAAATAAAGGGAAGTGTCAGTGCATTTGCTTGTGGAATACCACTCAAAGCTGTGAGCTGCCATCCTGCTCTCCCTCAGATACGCCTGCTACTCAGGAAACAGAGCAGAAGGGGTGGGTAGTAATTGAGCTGAGCCATTTGATATCAATTTTCTCTCTTCAGGCTCAAAGTGCTGACCAATAAAGCTTCTGTGATGCTCTTTATGAAAGGAAACAAACAGGTAAGGAACTCAAAAATGGTTTTATTTGTAATTTCTTTTGATGTTAACATCTGCAGCAAGGGGACAGTTAAGTCTTTTTTTCTAGTTTAGCTAATGAAGCTGTAGTGGTATCAGGAAGTTATCCAGGCCTTAATTGGTGCTTATGGAGATCAAACAAAGTAATCTCCATTTCGCTTGACTTTATCATCAGCGTCTCAGCAGGGTGCATTGCTTTCTGCTGCCAAACTTTGTCAGCTGAAGTGGTCAACACTGCGAGCACTTAGCTGATTCTCTCAGTTGCTGTCCCAGTCCCCTTGGTTTGAGAGAGTGGACTGTGGGCGCTTGTACATTCCTGGTAGTCCTGAGCTTCTTGGGTGTAGGTCCTTAGGTCCTCAGAGTAGGAAATAAACCCTGCCAGTGGCCCTTGGGCTCTGTGGTGCCTGGCTGATAAGTAACACTACCACAGTTCTCATTTGTAATACGATGGTTCTTGTGCTTGATGAAAGTTTTCATTACTTTGATAGTTCCCCTTGCACTCATCAGTTGGCGAAGAGCTTATTCTCTTCTGGATTGGGATTAGACTGGTAATTTTGAAAAGCTAGTCCTGTCACTTCTCTCGCATTTTACAGTTTTAACAGTTGAGTTTCAGCTGTTCAGCTTTAGGCAGGCAAAGCTATGCAGTTTGCTTTCCTTTCAGGATAAGGAGACTAAAGCTCAGAAGGGTGAGGTGGTGGAGTGAGGGTCTGTCCAGGTTCTGGATGAGCCACCCTGGGCAGGTGATGCCACAAGAGGCCTTTGCCTCCCTTTGCCTTTTTGTGAAAGGACCTAATGATGCCATAGGACTGTTTTAATGTTAGGTTGCTGTGGTACCAACACAGTGAAGCCCATTAGTTAAAACAACTAACTAGTTAATGTAACTAGTGTGATGGAAGTAATAATAAGACAATGCAATTTTAGCATGTTGGTAGCACTGTGTTAGGACATACACTTGGTGACTGGGACAGTGCACTTATTAAAAATAAACCTGATGTTAATAACTTACAGTAGTGATTAAGTGGCACTCCTTTGCTCCATTGTTTTGGCACTCTTTTGCTCATTATTTTGAAAGCTGACTTTGGTTCTCCACATTTCTTGTGGCTGTCCAGGAAGAACTTGCATTTCTTGGAAATGGTGTCCTGGGAGCTTTTAAGATGTTCTGTATTGTCAGGCTTCTTTCCCAAGATAGCTGGGGCTTGGGGACTCTGTGGCCTGAAATAAAGCATAAGACTTCAATCACTTCAAATGAGCTGATGCCACATTGCAAAGAGAAGTATAAAAGGTGTGACTAAAGGTCTATGGGATCTGAAAACAATTAGTTTAGTTCTTGCCACTGGCTTGACTATGTCCTATCACCTTGCATAATGCAAGGAAAGAGTCAGGTGAGTCTGTGTAGATGATCTGGGTTTGACTGAGGGGAACTTCTGACCTCAAGGATTTTCAGCTGCTATGTGTCCCTCATCTTATAAGGTTAAAGCCAGGGTCAGTCTGTAAGTTGTTTGGGATGATGTCTACCTGGGCCAGTACTTCAGAGTGAATGGAAGAAGCATGGGAGCTGGGTAACCACAGTGGCTGGGGTGCTGACCTGAGCATTCGCTGCAGCCACACTTACTGAGTCTGTGAAAAAAATGTACAATGTACTTTTTTTTATATATATAATTTAGGAAGCAAAATGTGGATTCAGCAAACAAATTCTGGAAATACTGAATAGTACTGGGTATGTAAATCTTGTTTTCAAATAGTATACTTAAAAAAATCCAGCTTTTCAGTTCTGCCACTGATACATTACAGTTTTAATGTCAAATTTGTTTGCATGGTATTTATTTATTGACATATATTGTCTATTTTTAATAGTGGTTTTTGTTATTGTTGTTGTTTTAAAATGCTTTAACTTAGACCAAATTGGAATTTTCTGGCCTTTGTTCTTGTTCTCACTATGCATAAAGACATGCGGGGAGATGTTCGTATATTCTAAATGTTATTTAGAAGCCTGTGTTTTCAGGGCTGGAGAGATGGCTTAGTGATTGTGTGTGTACTGCTCTGCAGAAGGTGAGAGTTGGGTTCCCAGCACCCATACGAGGCACCTCACAGCTGCCTATAACTCAGGTCCTGGGGGCGTGAGGCATCTGGCCTCATTTGCCTGGAGTAGGGTGAGCTGTTAAGTCTTTGTTCCTGTGGTGGAGCTGCTGGGATGGCTGCCAGGTGGGGATCCCCCAGTTTTTTTGTGGTTAAAACCAACTCATTTATGTGGAGATGTTTAGCACATGTTCTTTTGGATTTTCAAACGTTTTGTTTATTTACTGTTTCATGATTGCTTCAAATTGCAGTGTGTGTTCTGATCATACTTTGAATAGATAACCTATTCTCTGAAGTGGCAGATCTGCATCAGGATTGAAGGCAGTAAAAGCACACAATCTGAATATAACCTTAAAAAAATGGCTCTTCTTAAGAAATACTGGGGGCAGGCAAGGTGGCTTAGAGGGTAAAGGTGCTTGTCCCCAAGATTGATGACCTAAATTTGATCCCTGGGACACAAATAGTAGAGAGAGAGAGAGAGAGAACTGACTCCTACAGATTGTCCACTGACCTCCACACAAATGCCTTGGCCTTCCACTATCCCCATAAATACATAAGAGAATTTTGGCAGCTCCTGCTGTAGCTAGTTTTGTTCATCAAAGACTAGTAATTTTGTCTTAGGATAACAAGCCCGATGATAAAGTCATTCCCCTTGCTTTATAGTAGGCCTTCTGTAGTAAGTTTTGTTAGCAGGGAATGCTTTTCTTGATTGTATTAAAAACATTAGGTAGGTTTTTATGTTTTTTGTTTAAAGTGAGCACCTGTTAAAAAGCTTTCTCCCTTTTTCAGGGTTGATTATGAAACTTTCGATATACTGGAGGATGAAGAAGTAAGTTCTGGGTTTTCTGTTTTCACCCCATGTTTTAGCTTTAGTCACAGGGTCTGGTGGAATGATTTCAAGATTCCTGTCGTTTCTTTAGGTGCGGCAGGGATTAAAAACATTCTCGAACTGGCCAACCTACCCTCAGCTGTATGTGAGAGGGGAGCTTGTTGGAGGATTGGATATTGTTAAGGTAAGTGCTTTTCATTGCTATTCTCAAGAATTGAGTTGTTAAGCATCCAGCTTTAGTGTTGTCTGGCTCATCTTTTCTGCATCCTCACATTCAGCATCCTCCGTGTATGTGTCTTAGTGTTTCATGCTTACTTCTGCTCTGACCTGTCTTCAAATCCTTCGACTGCTGCCAGCTACCAAGGAGAGCTAAACCCTACAGCTGAAGGTCCAGATGAACTCAGGACCCCGCGGTGCTAACTGCAGCACAGCAGCCTTCCTTTCCGTTTTCTTGTCTATTAGCCATCTTTATTCGGTTCCCCCAACTTTAGATTTCCTTGTATCATCCGTAATTAAATCATTTTTCTCCATCCTTCAGAGTCCAGCTTCCTCATAAATTTGTACACCTTTCCTGCCAGAAACATATCTGTCCCAAAACTCTTATGCTCCTTCGTTTTTTGTTATTGCAATTGTTTCTCTGGGCCATTTTCCTTTTCCCTCTCCTACCTCAGGTATAGGAGTGAGGATGAGGAGTAGGAGACTGAGGCAAGAGTCTCTTGGCCCCCATGCCATATGGCTGCGGGTCACCTCTGCCAAGTGACAGGACTGTTAGAGTCTAATTCTAGGACAGGTAGAGTGTAATTCTGTTTAAAGCAGGTGCTGTATGTTACATGCTTCTTATTTTTCTGTTGAGACAAGATCTCGTTCTGTAGTCCAGGCTGTCTTTGAGCTCCTTCTGTAGACCAGGCTGGCCTTGTAGCAGTCTTTTTGTCTGTCTCTATCTTCCTAGTGCTGAAGTTACAGGTGTGAGTTGCTAGCGCTGGCCTTACATTCCTTTGAATCCTTCCTGATGCTCTGTTTATTTTATGAACTTGGTAAATGGTTATTAGGCAATTAAAAAACTTTTTTCTTGTCTTTTAAATGGAGCTACCTTTTTTTTGTGTGTGTGCTAGAAGGTGGCCTCATTTACTTATAACTACTTATTAGCTGTGTTGGTTAATGTAAACATAAAGGAAAGCTGCAGCTTTGGTACACCCATCATCCCACTGCCTTGGATAGTGTGTTGAGGGGACATGTGTGACTCATGACAGTGGGGACAGCTTCTCCTCAAGGGCTGGAGACTGCCCTCAGGCCTTCTGATTGTTTGGGGGAAAGTTTCTCTGAGTTTCATGTGGAAAACAGTTTTTTAAAATAGTTAAACATTATAAAATAAAAGCTTTAAAAACAGGCTTTTGCCGGGCGGTGTTGGCGAATGCCTTTAATCCCAGCACTCAGGAGGCAGAGGCAGGCCTTGTCTATAGAGCTAGTTCTAGGACAGCCAGAGCTACACAGAGAAACCCTGTCTCGAAAAACTAAAACCAAAAAAAACCAGAAAAATAGGCTTTCACAATGTGAAGAAACTCAATATCTGGACCAGCTAACATGTCTAGGAAATCAGGGCCCGAGGCAACTGCAGGGCTGTTCTGTCTTGATGGTTCAGGGCTGCTTTGTTTCCTGCCCAGTGTAGAGTTTGATGGTCCTTTGAAAATAAGGTAGGGGGAAAAAGAAAAGAACTGTAGCTTTTGAGGAGCCTTGAAGCAACAAGGTAAGTGTGCATTTGTTACTTTAATATCTAGGTGCATACAAATCAAATGTAGGTAGGTATCTTAGTAAGGTACAAACTGTCTTTCGATTCTAGATGCTTTTGAGCCTGTTGTCTGAATGTCTCACAGCCCATGCCTTAGCCATGAAGTCTTGGGAGACCAGGAAGTAGTTTTAAACTTTTGGGGTACTCTATGATCTTTGCTCAGAACATGTGCATTTGCAAGTTGATGCTACTTCTCTCATTTTTTCTTGAAGGTTTTTGGAGCTGTCGCTTTGTATTTCTTAGAATGCAGTTTTTCATCTCTTCATTAGTGTACATTCCATATGTTAATTCTGATTAGCCTCTGTTAGAGCTTTGGTACTTTTTGTTTTTGTTGACTGGATCAGTAACTCTGACTTGTTCAGTTAGGTGTCCTGGAAAAGGCTGCTATTGACAGACACTAGAGGAAGTGAGGAGTGCTTGGACTTGGAGCCTTTGTTTGAGTGATTTAAAATGCCTCAAGAAGATGTCTGAGCTGTCTGCTCTCAGAGGAGAGAGAAGCTCTTCAGTGTATCAGAATCAGAGGGAAAGATTCTTATTATTATGTGGATTTCATCTGCTTCTCACCATAGCTTAGTTATAAATTTGGAGATTAGAAAAATAAAATGGACTGTGGTGCAGCAGACTGTTGGCTTGTGCACAAGGAAGAGAGACTCAGAAGACTGGATGCTACTGAAGGCTGCCTGATCTATTGTGTGCCTGAACTATGCCTGCCTGGGCTCAGTGGTTAACTTTGTAACCTGAGATTGTTTTGCCAACCCTCCTATCTGTGGGTTTTAGATGTGCAGATTCAACCCCAGAAGATCACACACACACACACACACACACACACACACACACACACACACACACACACACACTCTCTCTCTCTCTCTCTCTCTCTCTCTCTCTCTCTCTCTCTCTCTGTCTCTGTCTCTGTCTCTGTCTCTCTCTTTTTCTCTCTTTCTCTGTAGAAGCTGGACTCGGTGGTATGTACATGCTTTTAATTCTAGTACTTGACAGGCAGAGACAGGCAGATCTCTTTGAGTTCAAGGTCAGCCTGGTCTACATAGTGAGTTCTGGGACAGCCAGAGGTACATAATGAGACACTGTCTCAACATTTTTTAATCTGTTGTGAACATGTACTGAGGGAGTTCTTGCAGGTGTCATGTTAGACAGGGAAGCAAACCAAGAAGAGGGAGAATGAAAAATTGACTTGTCAACCTGGATCAAACTTCAGGGAGTCTGATGCTGGGCAGTTTATTGCCAATGTATTTAAACCCAGTATAATATAGAAAAAAGTTCCTGGTGTAATACAGTCCCTGGTGACAATGAAGATAATTGCATCGAAACTCAAGTACATGTCATTTCTTCCAAGGAGATGGGTTCTAGAGACAGGCTACTTGTGCTAGCTTAAAGGTCTAAGGAAGGATCTAGCCTGGTTCAGTCATACAGATAGCAAGGAGGTTATTTGGGCTATTAGCCACCTTTAGTCCTGGTTAGGGGAGCTTGGGGGAGCCCCTGGCTATATGGATAATGTAAGGGTCCATTTAGATTATTAGGTATCTCAGGTTCTGGTTGTGGGAGCTTGTGGGGGCCTATGGCTATACAAGTAATATAATGGTCATTTAGATTACTAGCCACCTCTGGACCTGGTTGTAGAAGATTGATATGGCCTGGCACAACAGATAACACTGATCACCAAGCTATTAATCACCTCCACTTCCCAGCTTTCTGGATAGAAGAACAGGTTTTCCATCTTTTATGTGGGGAAAAAAAAACAACAATTATGCGTGGTTTATATTCTTAGTTTCCCTGGAGATCTGTGGGTACACGGACCTTCATGCTCCCAACAGTGTACCAGTATTTTCCTTGTCATTATTTCCCAAGCAACACAGCATAATAACATTCACATTATAACTTGGAGACCAAGTTCAGCATTCGAGTGGTGTGGACTGTGTTTTCTACACACCGTCTTCTGTAAAGACTGTTCTTGGTCTGTAGTGAATCCAAAGTCAGTCTCCATGAATACAAAGGTGGCTGTATTTGCTTTAAAATAAATTCTAATGTATAGTTTATGTTCATTTTTACTTGTGCAGAGAAAGAGGAGAGGAGAGAGAAGAGGGAGACTTGAACCCAGGGCCTTGGCATGTTAGGCCAATGCTCTACTGCTGTGCCTTGTACTTTGATTTATGGTGTAAGAAGGTTGACATGTTGAAAACTTGCAAGTTTGGCTCAGTAGATACCCTTTTGGTGTCAGATACGGGTAAAAGCTTATTGCTTAGATACATTTTTTTTTTTTGCATGATTGTACACTCACGCATACCTTTTTTTTTTTTAATTTTTAGGAACTGAAAGACAACGGTGAATTGCTGCCTATATTGAAAGGAGAAAATTAATAAAAAGTTAAGCATGGTGTCCAAGGACTGCAAGAAATATTTAATTACAGTGGAACAGTTGATGGTTTGGTCCTGAGAAGTGGACTAGGAGTAGAAATTGGTCTCACCCAGCTATGCTCTGCCTTTCAGAGCTGTGCTGAAGAAACATGTTACATTTTCCATGAAACATAGAAGGCAATAAACTCTTCAGATTCAGCTAAAAATGATTATGTGTAGAATTTATGTGTGGAATGTCTTTGTAACGTACAGTCACTGTCACTAATTCCTTTAAAGCTCTCTCTTAACACACGGGCCTCTTGTAGCAATTAGGAAAGGCCGTCAGGAAATAAAGGCCTCTCACAAAGAAAGCAGTGTGCAGTAGAGCTTAGCCGACTCCGGTGCCAGCCCAATGGCTCCCCTCGCTGGCCAGAGAGCTCTTCACAGCCTTGGAAAATGCAACCAGAAGGCTTGTTCTGCCGAAAGCGATGATGTTTATCCAGACCACCTTCAGAAAGCCAGAACACTTGTGTCCCAATATCCGTAGAAGGAACAGTAGTGACCAAGAGTAAGGAAGCACCCTTCAGTCTTACAGGACTACAAGTTATTTTGATCATTGCAGTGAATATGCTAATTATGCCTTCCGATAAGTAGAGAATATTCCAAGAGCCATGAAAAAAAATTTTTTTTTAATTAAGTTTTCCATTCATTTTACATATCAACTGCAGATTCCCCCGTCCTCCTTCCTCCCACCTCCAGCCATTCCCCTCAAACAACCCCCCCACTCCCACCCCCTCCAAGGCAAGGTCTCCCATGGGAGTCAGCAGAGCCTTGTACATTCAGTTGAGGCAGGTCCAAGCCCCTCCTTCCTACACCAAGGCTGTGCAAAGTGTCTCACCATAGGCACCAGGCTCCAAAAGGCTGGCTCATGCACCAGGGATGGGTCCCGATCCCACTGCCTGGGGGTCCCCTAAACAATTCAAGCCAAACAACTGTCTCACTTATCCAGAGGGCCTAGTCCAGTACCACAGGGGCTCCTCAGCTATTGGTTCACAGTTCATGTGTTTCTACTAGTTTGGCTAGTTGTCTCTGCACTCCTTCCAGTCATGGTCTTGATATCTCTTGCTCATAGAATCCCTCCTCTCTCTCATCCACTGGACCCCTGGAGCTCCACCTGGGACCCAGCTGTGGATCTCTGCATCTGCTTCCATCAATCACTGGATGGGGGTTCTGTGATGTCAGCTAGGGTATTCAGCCATCTGATCACCAGAGTAGGTCAGCTCAGGTACCTTCTCAACCACTGCCAGTGGATTCCTGGGGACCTCCCTAGCACTCTGCTTCTTCCCATTCTCATGGTGCCTTTACCCCTCATGGTATCTCCTTCCCTGCTCTCCCACTCTGCCTCTGATCCAGCTCGAACCTCCCGCTCCTCTAAGCTCTCATTCTCCCGTCCCTTGCCTTCCATTACCCCTCCCCCCAGCTTGCTCATGTAGATCCCATCCACCCCTCCCTCGCTGGGCGATCCCTGTGTCCCTCCCAGGGTCCTCCCTACCAGCCTGTCTCCCTGGAGCTGTGGGTTGCAATCTAGTTATCCCTCGCTTCACATCTAGTATCCACTTATGAGTGAGTACATACCATGTTTGTCTTTCTGAGTCTGGGTTACCTCACTCAGGATGATATTTTCTAGATCCATCCATTTGCCTGCAAACCTCATGATGTCATTGTTTTTCTCTGTTGAGTAGTACTCCATTGTGCATATGTGCTACATTTTCTTTATCCATTCTTCAGTTGAATTTTAAATGTATATTTTTCCACCCTGACTCTACATATGTGAGAAACACTTGTCCCATCATGCTTTGCTGGCACAAGCCTTACTTAGGATTTCTGAATTCATAGCTGTGGGATCTGGGCATTTGCTGCCTGTGGGATGTTCGTAAATGATCTTAGCCTGCTGCTCTGGGCTGTGAGCACTGTCTGTAAGAAGGAAAGGGTGTGTCCAGTAATTGGAATGAACGCAGCCAGGGAGAGAGTACAGACCCAGCCTCTCCAGAGCTCTTGAGCTGCTGCTCCTAACCTCGGTCCTGTGATGTGCAAGGCACAGGGACTGAAGTAGCCCACGTTTTAAAGGTGGTTGGGCCTGGCTTCCTAGGACAGGGTGCCTAGGAGGGGATTTTCTGGAGAACAAGGCTCTTTATTTCCACTTAAATGAAAATCATTGTATAAGTAACACTTAAATGCAGATAGATGGTCTTACCAAGGTGTGGCTTCCTGTGTGCCTCATGGAGGTCTGACTGTTTTAGTCACTCTTCTATGGCTGAGTTAAACACTTGTGACAAGGCATTTTATAGAAGAAAGGATTTATTTGGGCGGGGATTTATGATAGTAAGTCACAGGCATGGTGTCTGGAGCAGAAGCTGAGGATTCACATCTTGAACCTTAAGCATGAAGCAGAGATAGAGGACTTAAATGATGTAACCCTTAAACTCCCAGAGCCTGTCCCCAGTGACATACTTCCTCACACAAGGCCACCTAAACCTCCCGAAGAGCACCGTCAGCTGGGGATGAAGGGCTAAAGCTGGAGACCACGGGGACATCTGCAGGAAGGTTTTCTTAGGCTCCCAAACTGAAATGATTTGTACATGGCTTTTAGGATTTTTTTTTTTAAATCTACAAATGCTCTCTGTCCTATTCCACCTTATCCTAAGTATTCTAGCTTCATCTCTGCTATTGTGATAGATCACCCTGACAAAAACTAACTAACTTGGGTGAGAAATGGTTTATTTGGTTTCAGTACCAGGCCACAGCTCATCATTGTATAGAAGTCAGGTCAGGAGCTTGAAGCAAGCAGCAAGAACAAGGCGAGAATGCATGCGTGCATTCCTTGTGGCTTTTACACAGTTCAGCCCCCAGTCCTCAGAACGGTGCCATTCACAGTGGGCTGGGTCTTCCTGCCTCAGCTAACCTAATTAAGACGATCCCTCGCACACACGCCCACACTGGAAAATCCTCACGTAGTTTTCTTCTCAGGTGATTGACAAGACTCGCCAACACATACCTTTGTGACTATAGATTGATGTAGTGTTTCCCCCAATTGAGATAAAATATCTAACTTTTAATATAAGTAAACAAACCAATTTAATATATTTTTATTTGAAGATTTCACAGAACGGGTTTTGATCATGTTTGCCCTCTACTCTTCTCCCCAACTCCTTCAGGACTACCCATCCTCCCTGCCCCCTTCGTTGTGTCTTTATTTATCCCCTTTCTCCCTCTCCTCCCTTATTATCTTACCCTAGTTTATTTTTATTGATACCTAGTTAATTTTATTTTATTAATTCCTTAAGTTCTGTTATTTGTTCTCCTGACCCCAGGATAAGTAGGTGGTAACAGTGAGGCGGGGAGCCATTGGGGTGATTAAGAGATCTTGACTGGCGGCTGCTCCTAGCCTGATTTTATTAGATACAATTTGGAAGTAAAGCGTTTGGGGGGTCCAGTTGAACTTCTGTTGTCAGACTTTCTAGCAGAAGAGAGTTTGTGAATGGGCTGAAGACAGCCTGCTTTTGTAGACACCTTTTGTCAAAGTTGAAGTCCACTTCTGTTCTAGAGGCAGCTTTGTTTCCAGCGACATCCACTTACTTCCTGGGGAAAGGCTGCAGTATTGTTTGGATGTTTTATTTGGTGCCTGTTTGAGGAGACTGCCAAGTGTGTGCTGTGTGGAGCTGAGCAAGTTTGGACATGTCTTGGGACACCAGTGTCTCTAGGGAGTGGTCCTAGGTGATCTGGTATGGCTGGCTTCTGCATCCTCCAGGGTGTGACGTGGGATTCATCATGAATGGGGGCTGAGAGTGAAGTCTGGAGGCACTAAGGACTGCCAGCCCTGGAGGGGCTCTCAACAGAGACTCATGTCACTGTGGCTTAATTTACTTGTCACCAGGGAAACCAGTTCCCCCATAAGCATGATTCCCCTAGAAGATGCTGGCTAAGTAGGAATTAGAGGGCCTCACACTACTGGTCAGTCGGTGTGTTTATATCTGAAAATAACTTCCTTGATAGAGAAGGGTTCTTAGGAATTTGTGTCTGCTTTGGAAGATAAGCCTGTAGGAATGGACTTTTGTTGTGGAATATTTATGTAAAGATGTGTTACATTTGTTTATGCTGTAGAATATTACTATAACTGTGTAAAGGTGTGTTTATGATGCATTTGTTTAATTATGAAAAGATGTGTTTCACCTTTCCCGCCTAAGGCACCTGAACGGCCAATAGCTAGGCAGGAGAGGGATAGGCAGGGCTGGCAGGCAGAGAGAATAAATACAAGGAGAAATCTAGGCTCAAAGGAAGTGTGAAGAGATCGAGGAGAAGGAGACGGACATGCCTGGGCCCAGAAGCCAGGCAGCCGCTAGCCAGGCAGCCAGAAGCAGTGAAAGGAAGATATACAGAAGGAAAGAAAAGGAAAAAGCCCCGAGGCAAAAGATAAAGAGAAAACAGGTTAATTTAAGTTAAAAGAGCTAGCCAGAAATGAACCTAACGAGCATTCATAACTAATAAGAAGTCTCCGTGTTATGATTTGGGGGCAGGTTGGTGGCTGAGAGAGAAAGCCTGGTACAGACTTTCCCCTCAACTCGGCTTTTGTAATAAGTAGGGAGTGGAACTGTGGGGTAGGGGGGTCAAGGCAATGAAAGCCTATCTTGGTGGGGAGGTTTTCCTTTGTAGTTGGGGGACACTAACCTGCAGCCATCAGGAGAGGGCTTTCCATGTAGGTGTGACTCACAAACTCGAAGCACACTCTCTGGCAAAGATGTGTGTTAAGTCACTCATGGCCATTCGAAAGTTCTTGCCCTTGTCTCTTTTCTGGCATTTAGACACATTTGTCCTGCTCAGCCAAATGGCTCTTATGACTACTAGTGACCTAAGGTCATGGTTGGTTTGCCCTTGTTCTGCCTGTAACTGAATGTGTGGACCTGCCCCGTACTCAGTTACTTTCCTGGTTACTGGGATGGAGTACCTGTCAAGCATTTCCTTTTAGGAAGTGTGGAGAGATGCATGCTGGTCCTCACCTGACTGGCCTTCTCTCCCTTCCTTCCTTCCTTCCTTCCTTCCTTCCTTCCTTCCTTCCTTCCTTCCTTCCTTCCTTCCTTCCTTCCTTCCTTCCTTCCTTCCTTCCTTCCTTCCTTCCTTCCTTCCTTGTTTTTGTTCTTGTTTTTTGTTTTTTTAAGACAGGGTTTCCCTG